CAATTGAACAATTCTCAATATACTATAGTAATGAAAGAATTAAAATATGCAAGAGATCATATCAAGAAAATCTTTAAATTTCGATATCAAAATTCTAGGATTTTGCCAAAAATCATAATTTATTAAAACAAGAACAAGTAGTTGATTGAAAACATGATTTACTCAAGAATCAAAATTTAGAAATCAATAATCCATGTATTTTTCACAATATAACATGTAATTTGGAAAAATTAGAGTTTTGGAAATTCAAGAACAATGTTTATCAGATACAAGACATGTATCTCATTTAAAACCATATGTTACTCAAAAAAGAATCAAGAATGAACAATATGTTAATCAAAAGAAACCAAGAGCGAAAGATTATTTAACATATAATAATCTAGGAGATTAAAAACATAAATAATTATACCCTAAGTCTCAATGAAAGAACTTGAGAAGAATCTCCTACCTTGATTTCGTAGGTTTTGATGCAAAACTCTGTGCCCTCTATCCGTCCCCTAGGCAAAAATCCCTTGAAGTAGTGTCCTCTCTCCTTTATTCTCACCCTCTTGGGCTTTCTACGATGAAAAACTGATGAAACTCAGTCTAAGGGTTGTTCCTTAAGTATTTATAGTGAAAAATTTGAGAGAACACCCAAAGTTGGTCAGTGACGTGAAACCCTCTATTCGGTGCATCTGGACGCGTGTATTTTACTGTCCAAATGCTTGTTTCTTCGCCATACTTTCTGCCAAGTGCGTTCGGATGCGTGTTTATTCTCGTCCGAACGCAGGTGACAATATACCCCCAACTTCTAGCTCGATTTTGACCTATTTAGGAGCCGATTCAAAAAAATTTTGTGAAATATACTTTTGTAGCCCTTGAAGTCTAGTTTTTGTTATCCAAACATTAGCTCAATTGGATTTTAGATTACAAATTTATGACCAAAATACTAAGGTAGTGTCAAATTCATTTCTACCCAAATCCTCTCCAAAATAGGTTTTAACTCTGAAATATTTTCTAACTTCTAATATATCCCATATTACCTTTTCCAAAGTTTATCGACCTTCCGGATTCAATGAAAACCTTATTTTGACCTAAAAATATTTGTAAAATTACTTAGCCATACTTTTCAATCCAAACATCTCCAAAACTCCATTTATCTCAAAGTAATATACACAAAACTCAAACTTTATAGTCAATCCTTCAATTATGATTCTAAGTTTCTATCATCATTTTATTCATCTTAGGAGAACTCATAAGATAAAATTATTATTCTTTAATTTTAATACGGGGTCTTACGGAAGAAGATGGTGTGTGTGTGTGTGTGTGTGTGTTTGTTCCATTTGAGAGCCAAAATGGAGAGAGAGAGAGAGAGAGAGGAAAAAAAAAAACTTTTATACTTGGAGTTGTGTTGCTGCTAAGGGGATTTGAAGGGGTGACCTCATTAAAAGTCACTTGTTTTCTACGTTTTCCAAATTTTCCATTCTTTTGTCTCCAAAACATACCAGGCATGTACTCCATTTTTTGGTTTCAGTTTCCACTTTTTTTGCAATTTTTTTTTTGAAAATTTCTAACTATAATAGTTTTTCTCTAAGTTTTTAGTGGTTTGAGAACAAAAAATTATTTTTGGAACACAATCCAAACCCAGTTATCTTCATATTGTCACTTTTATTCTTAGTTCAGTGAGTTGGTTATTTCTATTATTGGTAGTTTAGTGAGTTGTAAGCCCAGCATAGTGGGAAGAGGGGGGGGGTGATGTCATGCCCCAATTTACAAAAATAAGGATGAACTTTTTTTTGGGGGGGAGAGGATGAACTTGAACACTTAACCTTAAAAAGGTAAAGCCTTCACAAGATAAGAAATATCATTGGACCAATAGCCCGTTAGTAGGCATGAACTAACTATATTAACCATCAAACCATGAGAGCATAATTAAATACTAGAAATTTTAAATTAAAACAATAATATTCAACTCCATCTAACTAAAAATCTCAAAAAAAAATACATAATTTAATCATTAAAGTTGAACCGAAACCTTTAAATAAACTAAATATCTCATCCAACTAAAATAATATTAATAGCATTTATCCATCATAAACCAAATGACCTAAAGTAGATAAAAATTCTAAATCTCAAAAGATGGAGCCACATCATGATCTGTCTCAAACTCCAATTTCACCTGCGCACCAATACTGGTATTCTCCTTTATACCAAAATCTAAAAAATGTAAGGAGTAAGCGAGCAAACAAACTCAGTAGAGAAACTTTTCCAAATCTAGACAATATTTAGAAAAAGAATAAAATAGGGAGGTCTCAATTCCAACACAATAACATATGTAACTTTTGAAATAAAATATGTGGCATTGTAACAACCTCAGGTTTACAAATAGTGAACAATAAATTCATAGCACAATAAAATTATTTCAAAAAATATCAACTTTTAGCTATCCCAAAGTTTTTTGACCTCCTAAATTTAGTGGTAATATTATTTTGAGTTAATATTTAGAAACAAATCTATCTACCATTCTCAAACATAAATACCTCTGAAACTATATTTGACTCGAAAGTCAATACGCATGAAACTCAAACTTCATGTTTATCTTTTCAACAATGATTCAAAATTCCTATTATCATTTTAATCATTTTAGAGGTACTCTTAAAATACTATTATCCATATTTATTTATTTTAAGGGGTCTCAAAATCCATCACCCTAAAAGAAGGTTCATTCTCGAAAATTAGTTGTCGACCTAGTGTACCTAATTCCAATTGATCACAAGATCTCAACGTCTATTTATCCTTTAAGCTTCAAATCCAATATCAAAATAGATTTCTCATATTCTAAATTTTATAATCCATCCCTACAACTTGCACCATCATTCCAGTTATTAAAAGTCCACAAGATTACCTTCATTCACTAGCATTCATTTATCACATTTATTCTCAATTTTCGACTATCTCTTATCCTCAATAATTCTATAAGATTGTTCAAACTAATTTTTTTATCATGCATAACTACTAGATCAACTTAATTGTTCAGTCATCAAATACCACTTTTCTTTTGAATTCATCAAACCTTTCACTAAACCCAAAGATTGGTTCTTACATGTAGCTTAACCACATACCATATTTAAAAAAGATCAAATTTTCGCTTATTGGATTACTTATCTTTCCTATACTGAAATCATGGTATAACACAAAATTTAGTAATAACATTATAGTAAAATTTACCTAGATTCCTAAAATAGATACATTTTGCTTAATGATTTTGTCTCTCACTAGTCTAGAGAAATTTACAATCTTTGAAATCTAATAATAATTTTGATTCCTTACTGCACATTCCCATATAAATCAAATCTTCTGTTAGATTGTACACCAATGTGCAATTCTCACTATACTCTGATTCATCTTTCTTCATGTTCCATCTCGTCATTACGATTGTTCAAGATACCATGACACTCCTGTTCTATTCAATCCTATGGATAATCAAAAGTCTTGGTGGTTCGGTGGATACTACAAGGTTTCCAACTATTATAATCATCAAACTATACACCTATTTATCAATGAGATTGTTTATTACTTTTCAAGTTTATACTTTTTACATTCACCGATATAACCATAACTAACGGTTAGTCCCAATAATATTAATTCCAACAAACACTTTTGCTGCGCACTCTAACACCAATTATAGTTAGAAAAATTAGCTCTCCAATTCAACGTTGTTGGGACTAGCAATAGATAAGGATTACCCCAAAGTTCAAATGTTTGGTAAAGATATGTCGAATTTTCCTCAAGTTTATAAATAAAAACTAACCATACATGTCTTCCAATTATATCTTTCACATCATCTGTACTACCAATCCATCCTTCACCTCCACAGGAAATTTTAGTAAATAACCTAGTATAATAGTTGGGCTTAGGGTCAACTTATATCTCCAATACTCCTTGTACCTATAGTCCTTAACTCCAACTTATTCAGATCTATCTAAATGATGGATTATGACAGACAGGAAAAAAAACTCCTTATTCCCACAATAAAACTCTAATAACACTAGATGTCATACCACGATAAAAGTTCGCAACAATCATCGAGTATCATCCTTGTTCCAATGATTGTCCACTATATTTGACTGTGAGCTTTTGTAAATCTGTAGTCTTTGGTCCAACAATATTAAGAGTCAAAAGATAACCGCCAATAATTAATTAAACTTTCTAGGTTTTCTTACCATATGTCTCTAAATCTTTACCTATACCCTTGATCTCAATTTTCAATTAAAATTTGTGTGTACAAGTCAATTATCAACTGCAAACTCAACCAATAGATTCCTGATTGTTAATAAATTTAGAGAGTCTAAGTATAATGAACTATGCCCACATTGAAATAAGATTGTCTAATTATATTGTCCTTTATTGGTCTTCCGCTTATGACCTTTTGAAGCAATTCGATTACCATAATGTACCAAAAACTGTGTTATCACTTTACTTTTAATTCTACGTAGCACAATACTGGCCAACTCGCCATAACTATACGTATACTCTCGCGTACATGGTTGTAGAGAGACCTCCAATCTGTCTAGGAAATATAACTATAATTCCTATAATTACTTCTAGAACTGACACCCATTCATGCTTATTTTATTAAATCGCTCCATTTGATCATATTATATCATCTCATACAACTGTAATCATCTAGGGGAAGAAAAATCAATCCCAGAGTTTTCACCATAAAACAAAATCTGCAATTGTCCCTCACTCTCCTAGCCTTTGAAGTAACTCATATAACTTTACATAACCGTCACTATACCAAGTCTTAATTATGTTAAGAACGTCGTAGTTGACTCTATCTTTGTGAAAGAAAATAATAGAAAGCGAATATCAAATATATATTGCTTTGGTATGTCTGACCCTATGCATGAGAGGGTTGATTTGTAGTACAAGAGAGTAGTGACGTTTCCTAGTCTAACCTATATGGGATAAACATATAAACTTTAACATCTCCCCTCAAATTGAAGGTGGGATTGAAGATGCCAACTGGAGTTTGCAAATCAAACCATGGTGGTGACCAAGTGGATGAGTATTCAAAGGATGACCGAGAGGTAGTCAGAGGATGGCAAAAGCAGATCAAAAATATCACTAGAAGAAGACCAAGGCAAATCATCACATCGTTGGAAGATGGCCGAAACAGATCGAAATGTTATTGGAAGATGGACAGAGTAGGTCGAAACTTCGCCAAAAGATGGCCGAAGCATGTCAGAGGATGGCCAGAGCAACCTCCTAATGTATATGGTAAGACACACCAAAACAATATATATTTGATATTTGATTTCTATTATTTTCTTTCACATGGTATTAGAGCCAGTTTTATGAGTCCTTCTGGCCAAAAGATAACATGCTCCGTGGTTGTCCTACAAGAGATCCTTTACATTAGAACCGTTGAAGCTTTTCTCATTCGGGCTGTCCTTCAACAACATATTCTAGTCATTCTCCATAGCCATCCTCAAGTTCTCCTTTCAGACATCCTCCGGCGCCGTTCTAGCGATCTTCGATGCCATTTTGATCATCATTTGGTGATGTAGCGATCTACCCTTGGCCATCCTCCAATGATCTTTCAATTGCCCTCCAACGATGTTTTAACTTGCCCCGCCATTCTCCAGTTGTGCTCCTCCCATTTTTCGGTAGCCCTCAAGCGATATTCCGATTTGTTTCTCAACCATCATCTAGCGACATTCGGACCTGCTTGGTTGTTCAATGATGATGTTTCGGTCGTCCTACGACGATGTTTCGATCACTTCCCGACCATCATTCGGCAACCTCCAACTGTCATTCGACAACTTCTCGGTCGTCCTCCGATGAAGTTCTGACCTATCTTGCCTATCCTCCAACGACCTTTTGGTTGCCCTTTGGCGACATTCTGACCTGCTCAGCTATCCTTCGACAACATTTTGGTCGTTCTCTAGCAATGTTTCGATCGCCTCTCAGCCATCCTTTGGCTGTCCTCCGACAATGTTTTGCTTGTCCTATGGCAATTTTCGGATCGCCTCCCGACTATCATTTGGCGATCTCCGACTGTCCTCTGCGACATTCTGACCCGACTATCCTCCAACAACATTCTGACTTGACTATCCTCCAACAAACTTTTGGTCGCCCTCCAGTGACATTCTAACCTTCCTGACCATTCTCCGATGAGGTTCTGACCTACTTCGGCCATCTTCCAGTAACGTTTTGACCTGTTCTAATCATCCTCCAATGATGTTCCGAATTTTTACATTATCTGATTTCTCACTCCTACCCCTTTCTATTTTCATTATCACATTCTAGACCTTAACACAAAACAATATTTACAATTTGACCCCAAGCAATAAACATAAGAGACAAAACTTATGTATAGTGACCTCAGTAACCCACTATATTTTCATATGTCAAACTAAATCTTATTTTTTTTGTCCAAACTCTATACTACAAAAAGAGTTATAACGCCTTTTTGACTTCCAAAAATTTAAGTATCATTAAAGGTCAGACATAATACTGAAAATCAACATAATCCTGAACCATAACTCTATTCGATCTCGTGATCTATTATAGCACTTCAATCTGTTCTCATACATTTTCATCACAAATACACCAATATGATCAATTCTATCCCAAAACTTATGCCTCATAAAAGAAAACTTTCTTTTTTTTTTTTATCGTCATTCATATCTCATGACCTTCTCTAATATTGGTAAACTCATTTTCCTAAAGATTCATACATAGCATCCCTTACTAACCAAAAATAAAATACCATTCATTTCCTAAAATAGTCTATAACGACATGGTAGGCAACTAGTATATCCATCCCAAACATAACAACAATTTTTTCAAGCTAGCTAAAATTTGTAAGTTCGAATAAACAAACAATCAATAACCTAACTAAATATAAATAGAATTCTAATCCTCGAAAGCTGGATCCACATCATGCTCCGTCTCAAACTCCAATTCCACATGCTCACCTATTGTGGTGTCCTCATTTCTACCAAAATTTGAAAAATGCAAGGAAATGGTGAGCAAACAAGCCCAATAGAGAAAATTTCTCAACGTATACAAGGTTTAGAAAATGGATAAACACATGTAGGTCTCAATTCTAACAAAATAATGTATATAACTTTTGAAATAAAACATCTGACATTGTAACGATCTTAGGTTTACGATACATGAACAATTAATCCATAGTAGAATAGAATTATTTCAGAAAATAGGCAGACTATTTCAAGTAAACAAAAGATCAAAACATATCTCATTTATGCAGGTTGATTAACTGGAATTCACACATCGACTATATCTGGTCCACACTCACACCTAACTCATCAATCAATTTTTCGTTGGGTTGCAACACTTTAGGAAATGTGTATATCGATGCATCGACATTGATGAAACCTTCTCAAGACTAGTATACTAACCCCTAATTTCGATCACCGTGAGTAAATAGTATGAATTCTTGGAACCTCGCAAGGAACGAAACAATTGATAAGAAACCTTCAAATCCTTCGAGATAAGAAAATTATCTAAACCATAATTTTTAAACTGGCCCATAAATCAACCCGGTAAACGGATAGGGCTAATGGGTCACTAGTTCAATCGTGAGTCAATTGGTCGAACTGGTCATATAATTAATCATAAAAAATTGTTAGTATTAATAAATATGCTTAAAGATTATAATAGTTACAAAAATAATATATTTTATATTATAGTAAATAAACTAAAAAGACAAAAAATATGACCAATTCGTTAATTTGCTTACACAATTGATATACTTTGATAGAGCATAAAAAAATTCACTAACTAGCATTAAATATTGGTATAAAATTGTAAATAGTGATAGTGTGATGACCCCAAAAAATTAAAATAAAAATTGAAAAAAAAAAGTAATTCAAAGGTATAACAACACGGTATTAGAAAAATAAGAAGAACAACTAGACAATTTAGAGTTGTGGACACACTAAATAATACCACATTGGAAACCCAGATGAATTGATGAGGATTTTGTGCCAATAAGATGACCAATTCTCTTTGTTGATTGAATGGTGGACACAGTTTGATAGCTTTACAACTTGAGTTGAGGCGAGCCAAGTGGATCAGCTTATAGTTTGAGCTGAATTTCAATCATTCAATATTTAATCAAATTTCAAGACTTAAGTAAATTAGTACGAATTGAACGATTCTTTGGTGGGTGAATTGTTCAACCGATCGATCTAATTCAGAAATCAACTCGACTCAGGTACCAGTTTGTCTGTCGGGCTGGGCTGGGCTGGGTTTTAAAACACTAATCTAAACACTCTACGATATGCATTTGAGTGTAACCTACGCTCATCACACCCACTCATAAAAAGAGATAATATCCGATCTTTCAATAAAATTCACATATCTCACTATACGAAATCTCACACTTCTTAAAATAGAAGAGTAATACAATTAAAACATGCTAGAGATCATAAAAAGATGTATTTTAGTTAACCATGTTCAAGATCTAGGAATTTTCATAAAAAAAACATACAATTTGGATGTAAATTTTGCAATTTTTCCAAGAATGAATCATATAGTTGAAAAGAATGCAAATTCATTGTACATCTATCATATATATAAGAATTGGAATAAAAAAAAAATACATATACTTAGTCCTAATCCTCAATGAGTAAGAATGGAAAGAAACCGTACCTTAATCTGCAAATAGTTTATCCTATCGCATTTTGGTGCAATTACAACTCGTTAATCCTTCTAGATCTAGCTCATTTCTCCTCTTTTCCTCGAGGCTTCTTAGGGTTTTAAAACCATGTATGGGAACCTAAAATGTGGCCCTAGGGTGTTTGTAGAGTCAAAAACATAGAAAACGCTAAGAACTGATTAGGGTCAACCTCAGAAGCGCATCCAGGTGGTTTTTTACTCTAGACTTTTGGATCAATTTTGACCTAGTTAGAGGCCGATTCATGAAATATTTATGAAATACACTTTTGTAGTCTTTAAAGTAGACTTTTCAATGCCACACGAATTAAGTCAACTGAAAATTGGGGTAAAATGTTATAGTCAAAATATTGAGGTAGTGTGAAATTTATTTTTACCCGAATTATTTCCAAAATGCATTTTAACCTGGGAACACCTACAAACTTCTAATATATGTCACATAACCTCTCCCAAAAATTTTCAACCACCCAAATTCAATGGTAATATTATTTTGACCTAAAAACATTTAAAAACGTACTTATCTACCCTTCTCAAGCATAACTGCCTCTTAAACTATACTTGACATAAAAGTTAATATGCACGAAAGTCAAACTTCATGCTCATTCTTTCAACAACAACTCGAAACTCCTATCATCATTTTAAAGATATTGTTAACATAATGTTATCCATATTTATTTATTTCATGTGGTCTCATAAGGGGGATTCATTTGGTGAACTGATACCTTAATACTGCTATCTTTGTGTTTTTGTTGTTTTTATTCTCAGACTATAACCACTACAAAAAATAAGGATAATATTTGTTCTAAGGGGTGGGGTAATTGTCTCAAAATATTATGGCCAATTACCAAGTAGTTCGTAATGACCAATACCTAAGGGACAATCGGTAATCGTTATGGTAATGACAATGAATCTCCATTGCAGTAATGGGGAGCCGAACTGTCTATCAAACATGGGAAGATGTATTAATATGCAAATGCACATTCTATTCTCAAATCCATTACTCATATAAGATGGAAACTTAAGCTTTTGATTAGCATACTTTGTCTACATGAAATATTTCTACACCATGAAAGCATGAGTTTGTAATAAGCAATGAAAAATCTTATAGAAAATAACGAGTAAAAAGGAAGTAAGGGAGCCACAATAACATGCACGCACACAATCTCTCTTTCTCTCTCTCCCTCTCGCTCTCCCCCCTCAAAAAAAAAACAATAATACTAATGTAACACCATATCATAAATGGGTTTTCGAATATTAGAAAACAAATTGTGACACTTTGCATCAGGTATGGCGACTGATCAACTGGGGAGAAGTTAGGGATACCTTACTGAGAAGTGAAGGCTACAATGTCCAGGTCTTGTTGAAAGTGGAGCATGTCTGGTTTATTCAAATTCACCCATGCTTCAATGGCTCCCCCACATTTGGTGTCCTACATGAATACTATTTCTGCAGGACAACTTGTTAGACTTACCCAATCCCGCCTCCCCCTTCCGAAGTCAACTTCATAAAGTGGAAACCTGCACCAGCTGCTAAAACGTCTCACATCAACCTCGCTGTTGCACGATCCTCCCAGGCACTCGGTACAGATGTTTTCCAACATTAGCATAACCTCATTACCATTTAGGATAGGTAATTTCGCGAACGTAGCAATGGCATCTCTTGTTTCATCTCGTACCAAACTCACCAAGTCATGCAGCTCCATCTTGTTCTCACCTGCTGAGGATTGAGCAATGGCATCCAAAACAAAGTTTCCCAATGAAATCTTTGGCAATGGTGGGACTGTTTTCCCCCTCATGTTCACAAATTGGATGAGCAATGAATCCCTCAAGCGTCAATGTTTTGCTCGAGCTGCACTTATAAGGGCCTTCCATATCACTGCTGTCACCACCTCCACACGCGTTTGGTTGACATTCCATACCATTAGTTTGGATCTGAGCTATTGCTTTAGTATTAGCTTTCAACTTTTTTGTTGCTGCAGCGTTAAACACAAACCTCCTCATGACAACATTCATTTCTAGGTTGCAGAGGACTAGAGAAATATCTTGACCAGTAATTGGTGAAAAGAGAGAACCCAAATCGAAATTTGGTTGATGAATGGTTTCATTGGGCACCTCTGCTTGGCTTGAACTTGCCCATGCAGTAATAAAAGATGCAACTGCAGATGCATCAGTAATCATGTGTGAAAAGTAGAGGCCAATGGCCAATCCGCCACAATTGAAACTGTTGATTTGGATTGCTAGTAAAGGACTCGTGACAAGATCAAGTAATCTTTCTCTATATCAGATGGAAGGAGATGATTTAGCAGCTCAATTTTGGGTTCTATGAGGAATTCATCAAGCTTACAGTCCACTTGGGCTTCCAAATATTCCACCCCTTCATCATTACACTCAATCGAGAGATTATCAGTATTAAATCTCCAAGCCAGTGGGTAAAATGTGGTTAACGCCTCTGATAATGATTTCTTCAACTGGGCACGTCTTTGGGCGTTTTCGCCTAAGTCGCCATTCGTAGAGTAGTGGAGGACTAAGGAGATGTACGATGGAGGAGCCAACTAATCAAACACGGATATCTTCTTTTGGCGAAGGTGATGTGGAGTTGGAACGGATGACTTGATCAACTTCCTTGATAGGATTTCTACCTTCATTGCACCTTGCTTTTCAGGTATATAACTTCAAAACTTTCTCCAACAACTTCAACCTGTAAATCTTTTTTTCGACGGGATCTTATTATATATCTGATCTTGGAAGAAAAATATGCAGAAGATTGAACGCAGACTTTGCATTTATACACGAGTTTTTTACCAAACCCCGTGGTTTTTCCCAGTTGCCTAATTCTATATTTCATGACTATTAAACAAAAAGTAGTATTTTCTGTCACTAGTTAACTTCATGACAATCAAATACAAGGTATTAATTTTCTATCATCTCAACGCTGGCTTGGATCATCATTCAAAGTAATGATATGGTTTTATTATTACTAATATTATTTGAACCTAAAAATTTGACCTAATTTGCTGACTTAATTCACCATGACTTTTAGATTTACCGTAGAGCACAATAATTAAGGTGTTTGGAACAGCTTATGCGCACCTCGATTAATCTCCTTCCTGGTCTGACTAAAGATAGGTCATTAATGCCGAGACTAAAGAATTCATAAAGAATATATCCCTCATGACGTGGCCCAAAGAGTTGTTAAATTTTAAATTCAGACCATCTGAATTTACAGCTCGTATTTGTTACTACTTGAGCTATGCCTTCAGGTTATTTCAATCTCTTTTTCAACCCTAAAAGCTGCTTCTTTAAAATTCAAAACCAGATTGTAGATCTGGTCTTCACCCTTTTTAGCCCTGTTCCAAGAGCCTCTTCCTCCCATCCCCATGCCACCCATGCCATCATACCAAGACTTTTACAAGTGGAGTGCAAACTCCCTTACTTTAGCAACATACGTGTGTGAAATGATTTCTCGTTAATCTCTCTTTATAAAAATTCGTTAACTAAGGACCACCCTCTCCAACTAGCAGTCTGGTATCCATTGGATACAGATGAACTAACCTGCACTGGTTTGTTCAATAGTGTGTCATTCAATGATTGTGCAAAAGAGTAAGTTATAAACTCACATTTTGAACTCAAAAATTTCTCGCAATGTAAAACTCAAGTTTAATCAATGCACTTGGTTGTTCGATTTGCACATTGGGATTGGTCATGGACGAGCTTCGACTGGGCCAGCAGTGATGAAAGAATGAAAAAAAGAAAAACTTCACCCATCGTATCATTAACCAGTGTAAGATTAAAGATCAGGTACAGGATTCGAGTCAAATTGATCTTCCCTCTCATCTCGAGATGAGGAAAGGAATTCAATCCAAATGTTCGTTGATCAATACCTGGTCTGCTCAAGCAATTGGCATTCGAAATTACTGGCTAGAGCTTTTGAATCAAAGCATGGGCATTCGAAATTATGTTGTAACAACGAATCCAAATGACTTAAGGTCAAAACAAAGAGTCATCACCAATAGAAATAAAACAAATAAATGAACTAAATACCTTGAAAATACTCGTTACTTTTTCTGTTACAGTACTTCAATGCTTCAATGGTGATTCTATCACTATCAATCGTCCAAAAACCTAAAAATATCCCTAAAATTACGCAAAATTGCGGAATATTAGCAATCAAGAATAATATTGTAAATTTGAATGTCAAGAAATTGGCAATAGTGGCATAAATTTACACTTAATTTCAAATTATATATGATTAAGATCGTTCGAGCAGAGGTGAAAGGCCAAATTCCAGAAAAATTAGCAGAAAAGTACCTCAAATTCAATTTCAAATTATATATGATTAATATTGTTCGAGCAGAAGTGAAAGACCAAATTCCAGAAAAATTAGCAGAAAAGTACCTCAAATTCTCTTTCTTAATCCCGTTCAATGTATGTATGATACATAGTACAAAATCTAACCACAAAATTCCCTAAGATTTCATGTAGCAGACCGGTTTGGAAATCAGGAGTATTCACAGCAACAAGAAGCAAACCTGGAAAAAGACCACCGTCCCTCCCTCTCGCTATCTCCTGCTACTGTTGGGAGCTTTGGCCTTGTTTAGGTCAGCAAGTTCTTCAATGAGCTTCCTCTCTTCACCACTCAACCGTTTTGGGATCTCAACTTGCACTCTTACCAACTGATCACCCCTCATGTTGCTTTTGTTCAAATATGGCACCCCTTTTTTTGCCATCACCAGTGTCGTCCCTGGCTGGGTACCAGATGGAATCTTCAAATCAACTATACCATCAACTGTTGGAACCTTCATTGTCGTTCCTAGGATGGCATCAATATAAGAAACCTTACAGGTGTAGAGAATATTGGTGTCATCCCGTTTCAAGACAGGGTCTGAAAGAACTTCAATGGACACAAAAAGGTCTCCAGGGGGTCCCCCTCTCCTTCCTGCATTACCCTCAGACCGGACCCTTAAACGGCTGCCAGAATCTACCCCAGCCGGAACTTTCAGGCTAATCCGCTTTGACTTCCTTACTCGTCCATCCCCACCACACGTGTTGCAAGGAGTAGAAATTTCCCCAGTACCACCACAAGTAGAGCAGGTCATTACCTGTTGGAAGACACCCAGAGGAGTCCTTGCTGATGAGACAACTTGCCCTTGCCCACCACATGTGTTACATTTGGATGGCCTGGTTCCTGGCTTGGCACCAGATCCATCACAGGTGCTACAGCTCTCGAGTCGGGTTATTTCAATCTCTTTTTCAACCCCAAAAACTGCTTCTTTAAAATTTAAAACCAGATTGTACATCTGGTCTTCACCCTCCGTAGCCCTGATCCGAGAGCCTCTTCCTCCCATCCCCATACCACCCATGCCACCCAAGCCATCAAATAACGATTCAAACAGATCAAAAGGGTTGCTGAAATCCTATCAACATGGAGAAATCCAAATGTAAGAACACTTGTACATTGACATGAAAGAGGTTACGATTTGAATGCTAATAATTTTCTTTCGTTTCTTTTAGTACAAAGGAACTCACCCCCATGCCTACACCAGCACCTTTAAGCCCGGCCTCCCCATATCTATCATAAATGGAACGTTTCTCATCATCCGACAATACCTGCAGCACATTTTTTTTATATTATAAATCAATCTCTCAAAAACCACAAGGTCACTAGAACTGCAACTGCTCGGTCAGGAATTGTCAAACAGAATGGTACACATGCAGAGGATGGGGATACTTAACCTCATAAGCATTGCTAATCTCTTTAAATTTCTGTTCTGCTCCAGGTTCTCTGCAGAAGAGAAAGATGGAACATTAGTTCAAAAAGCATCTCATAATTATTTGAAAAGAAAAGAAAACAAAAACTGATCCATAACGTAACGCATAAATCATAGGCATGATGAACAACTTCTCTAAGCATGAACAACTCATACCAAGACTTCTCCTAGCGAAGTGCAAACTCCCATATTTTAACAACATACATGCTTTTCTCAATTATCACTAGTAACAACAGTGCACCATCCAATAAAGAATATCTTTTTTTTGGCTGTAATTGCCCTGTCTTCCTGTACATAAAGAGCTCCGCTCCACCTCTCATGCCCACATCCACTAAAACAAGACCTTTCCCAATTGGCAATGTCAAACAGCCTAGTATTATAATTGTTGCTTTTGCACAAAACCACTTTGAAGGATTCATTAGCTGACTCATTACCCCAACCACATGCAATTCAAGCAAATATGTGAACAAGTAACAGCCCTTGAATAATTTTTAGGCGTCTGGCTGTATTTACTAACCTCCAGTGTCTTCACTCAAATAAAGACATCGTGCAACCCATTATAAGTGCCTCCTTTCGGATGTCAAGGTCTATCTCTTAGGAGGAAGCAGTATTCCTTGGGCATAACAGCCTCTGAAACAAGCTATCATGACTCTTGCAAGTATTTTGACCAGAAAGAAATTTAATTCCTTCAATTCTTTAGTATCACTTATAGATCACTTACCAAATTACACATTCAAGTGAATAATGGATGACAACTACACTCTGGAATGACAGGCATGCTTAATGAGGTAGGATATGACAAAACAACTTGCTTCCATCTATATCACTATGTCCAGTGTCCAATTAAGTCTCAAAACAACCTCAAAAATGTTGCTTCAGCACACAAAGTCTTCTCCAACTGCAGTGTTGCCAACGTATCTCACATCCATACCACCTTAAATATCAAAATTCAAAGAGTGTACCAACAGCCATTTATGGAATGCCTACTGATCAAACCCCCCCAAGCCTGAGATACATGATCTCAGCTTGCATCTCATCATTACTCAAACAATTTTGCCTTTAATACAAACATGTGCAAGATGCTGCAATAAGCATTAGGCTTAGGATTCACTATTATACTGACTAAGATTAACTTTCGAATTAGATAAAAAAGGGCTTGGGAAGAGAATTAGAAGATGTAGGTATCCCTCAATTCAAGCACAGCAAAAAAAAAAACTATTAGTTATGATAGTTAAATTCGAAAAATGAGATGAAAAAAGAAACTAAAATGAATAAGAGAAAAGAAACTGGAAAGACACAAAAGCAATGACAATGTACCACACAAAGATTGTTAAGTAACCACTTTTTTTTGGTATATTCACTAACTCCTAAAGAATCATTCTAAGCTTCTTTCACACAGAACGAGCGAATGACCTTGAACCCATTACTATAATCACACTAGTCCCACCCCTGATAAAACAAAACTTAAAAAACGTTACATTCCTACCAGTTCAATGCTATTACATGCGAACAGGAACTTGCACCACCAAGATGACAGTAACCTGCTAAAGGAGAGGACATTTCATTATAATTTCATACAATACCACAACAATACCTCACTACAATATGATAGTAACCTACAAAAGTCGAGGGGTTTTCACTTAATAATGTGACACAATACTACCATAGTCCTTAGCTGAAGTAAGTTATATATTGTACATTAGCAAGTAATACAATGAATAGACTTTTTTTGGTCCTATAAATACCATGAACTTCGCAAAATGCCTTCTTGTGTTAAGATGCACAAGCCCTGTTGTTCGAACTTCCCAAGTACAATGTATCTTCTATAACCAAGCAATGGCTACCTTTTTTTTTTATTTTGGCCGATCATCAACAGCTACTGAGCATACAACAATAACACACTGAGGGGAAGATAATTTCCAAGGAGAAATGGCAAAACAGAAGCAAAATCTGTCTAGTGGTTTCCTTTTCTTTATTTTTGGAAAAAAAAGGGCACTTGGGGTGATGTGCATTTATTTGCCTTGTCCGTCTAGCAGTTGCTTACGATACCCTTTATGCATGCATAACAACTATAAATCAGCAAATCAGCAGTAGGTAAAACAGAAATGACTTTGCTTAGACTATAAGAGCAAAAATTAAATTGTAAACTTTGAAGTAGTTGCTTGGCTTACTTGTTCACATCAGGATGACAACTCCTCGCAAGCTTTCGATAGGCTGAATATGAGAAAAAAAAAAACGAATCAGCAATTAATATGAACCAAACATAATCTTTTGCAGAACACATAGATCTGATCTAGAAGGTGTAATGAATAATATCTAATCAGAAGGGGCATGATGGATAAGCATATCACTATAAGATATGCCCAATAGTATTCCTTTAAAAAAAAAAAAGGAACTCCCACACATAAAGCATAGACAATGTGAATAACTGTATCAAGAAGATTTATGAAAAGTAGTAGACAAAAACTGTAGCCAGAAAGCAACACTTAGTACAAGGGAAGCTTAAGAAGCTAAAAAATACGCAAGCAAGGTGAGGCCTAAAATGCTGAATGATAGGACCTTTATAAATCAACAAATCTCAGCATGAAGACAAAAATTTTGTTTGATAGCCATCCAGTCACCAATGAAGCTCATCAGCTCCTTTTCCAATAAAGTCTTGAACTTCTTTAACAAGGTGGCTGTGTGTAGGCATGTATACAAATGTGCACTAAAGGAAGTCTTAGAAAAGTCATGGATAAGCAGAGCTGTCAAGTAGGCACTGACAGAGCCAGTAACAGTATGCCCACCCTCAGTTTTTTTCCCTTAACATTACACATATCTATCTCAAATATTTCTTAGGCACTCTTAATTTAGACCACCATACATTTCTTATTAATCAATTATTATGTATCCATACCAAAATGGATATTAACTTTTGGACACATTTTGGACAGGTCCAAGATAAGTTTTGTCCATTTGGTGAAAAATATTTTCATTTACGGTGATAATGAAGCTATAATGTAATAGTTTTAAAATATGAAAACACGTCAAGGTCAATTGTAAATAGATGTTTTAATCTAATTTTTTAAATGGTAAGAATTAGTTTTTTAGGTTAATAGCAATTTTGGTCCCTAAAGTATGAACATTTTGTCAATTTAGTACTTATTGTATCAATTGTGTCAGTTTGTTCCCAAGAGTATTTGATTCATGTTCAAATGGTCCTTATATAGACAGTCCATTAAGTTTTTTTGACAGAAGTGACACTTATCATTTAGACAGTATCATGTGACCGACATGTGTTCACTTCTTTTAAAAACTTAACGGACCATTAGTGTAAAAGCCATTTAAACACGAATTGAATATTTTAGAATCAAAAATTGATATATTGAGAACCAAATTGACAAAATGACCATACTTTAGGGACCGAAAGTGCACTTAATCCTAGTTTTCTTAATTATGTATGTTGATATTAGGCCTTTTTGTGTGTTTAATAAATTTTTAAGTATCAAAAAATATATAAATAAGTACAAAAGTATCACCTTACTTTTATGATTAGGAGAAAATAAACCATACCTAAATTATAACCCAAGAGTGATATCATGGCTCTGCCACTGCAAGTAGGGTTTGTGTAAGCCCCGAAACATTTCGAGTTTCATGTTTGCGTCGTGTTTGTTTTATCTGTCAATCAAAACTTACAAGACTAGAACTCCCTTTTGGTTACCACATATAGGTACCAATAAACTAAAGTCAACTTGATCTACGTCCTAACAAAACAAAATAAAAAAAAACGAATAAACAAAATTATTCCTTTTTGAGCCATTTAATTCTCCAACGATTCATACAATATTAGGCCAAGAAACGGAAAAAATAAAAATCAGCTATTTTTTCTTCTTACAATACTACATATAGGAGTTTGTGTCAAAATTGAATTATTTATGTTTAACACTAAACCCAAGCCATATATTTTTTTCTGTTACTTGGTCGTTGTTAGTTTTGGGTTTGTATCGTGCTAATGTACCATGTAAAAATGCCACCCACGTCAAGATCATTGCCAACAAGTCAACTCTTAGTTTCAATCTTTCATACCAACGGAAAGGAATAAGAAGTTTCTCTGACATATAAACTGCTGATAGTTTTTTTTAAAGTTAACACAATTGTATTTACATATTGAAAAGAAATACAGTACTTATTAGCAAAATTAACATACAACAATTCCCAAAAGCATCTTCTACAGATACAAGATATAGGTCCTCATATGAGCCTTGCATAGATGCCCCCAACGTTGAAGTTTGGGATATGGGAAGAGAAACAATAAAGAAATCAACAACTTCACTACATAGTACAACTTTAAGAGATACAAAGCAGATATTACCTACACCATCTTAACATTATATGGGACTTCAACAAAAGAAAATATAGATTATAATTGGAAACATTCCGAATTGTTTCTAAAGAAATAACTTGTAGAAGGATAATGAGAATGTCCAGAGACTTCACTCAAATGGGGTGTTGTTTTATCCTCAGTAAAAAAAAATGGCAGGCTGCTTCACAGATTTTTTGGTAAATTGAGAACTCAATAATTAAGTAGAGCTTGGGACTAGGTTCCTACCCAGGAAGCCCATAATCTCTAACCTCCCTGAACTTAACTTCTTCAAAAGTTAGAAGTCCCATGTTTGAACAGTCTCACTTTGAGCTAGAGCTAGAGATCCCGAGCCTGAAGGCACTCTTCAATCATCAATACACTCCCTCCAACTGAGAGGTTTGTTCTTAGGTAAGGTCAAGCATCATTTTCATGAAAGAGTACAAAAGCAAGTCTAAAAAACCTCATGTTTTCAGTACCACAGATTATATTACCAGGACTTTGTCCAAAAATAACCTAAGCAAGTCAAACTCCTACCCACTAAAGTGAGCATCGGCATTTTTTGTGTGATCCCAAGAATATCCAAGCAAACTGACAAAAATACACCAAATTCAACTTCCAGGAATCCAAGAAGGGATCACCATCTTCACCTTTTTTCTTTTAACAGCTGGTTCTTTATCCTTACTTACCTCTGAACTACCGCAGTGAAATCTGTCAATCACAATAAACATTTCTAAAAGAAATCATATTGCATCTTTGATGAGTAGAACCCCAAATGCAACAAATATGCAGCAGGTAGACTCTGCGTATAATGAACATCTCATATGATGAATCGATGATAATAAGCTCAGCTCAAATCTGCTTGATATCTTTCCAGGACCAAGGGGAAGCAGGTGCAAAAGATTTCTAGTCTTAAGAAGTTAGCTGCTGCCTGCTACCAATGTTCATTATCATTAAGGCAAGCTTTAAATTACAAAGTTCAGCCCAGAATTGAAGATAAAAGGCTTCAGGTTATGTAACCCAGCTAATATATACAATTATTTTAGGATCTTATAAAAAGAATATGGTTTTATATTAGGAAACATAACTGTAGGACATAGAATGAACATGCAAATGTTCATTACAATATAGTTCATGTGCATCATAACATAGTGGTGTTCTGAAGAATCAAATCCACTGAAATAAATTGCATCTAAAAAACAAGAACTAGATCAAAGAGGTGGCCAGAAATCTAAAAGAGAAGGATCAACTCAACATACCGCTTTTTATTTCTGATTTGCTGGAATTTTTTGATACACCAAGGACAGCATAGTAATCCTGTGTATACAACATGTTAATGCTCCAATGCGTATACTACTAAATCTGCAAATAGTTGAATACAAGAGCATAGAAATCTTCACTAAAAGATTAGCGTAGGCAAAAGGGAGTTCAAATACGAAACTCACTCTATCAGCTCTAACAATGAAACGAGATACCCTTCGGCACCACAAACTCTTAGATGACCCCAGATCAAAAAGTGCACACAAGGAATGTTGAGAATAAATGGTTGAACATGGTGAGGCCAACATTCTCATCTTGCTTGAGACACTGCAAATGAAAGGACAAGTGCTATATATGGTTACTCTGACAACGTACGTAATTGTAAAACTTTAAGGCCATTTATTACAAGTTTACAACAATGGGAAAACAAGAAACTAGTCAGAACCAATAGTTTGCCATTAGCTAAAGATATCCAGAACAAATTCAAAATCCAGCACTTAAAATAAACATATGCAATGATTTTTTTTGGCTAAACCAAAAAAATAATCACACACGTATGGTCAATTTGCTCTCACCAAAGTTTTCCCAATCATGTTGGTATATTTCTCTATACATTTTTCTCAAATCGATTGATAAAATATATATTCACTCCATTTATGACAATCTTATTAAGCAGGAGAAATTCATCTATAGTTTTTTAAGCACTGTTCCTGAAACATAGTGATATCAATCTAAAGCAAAAGTAAAAATAGCAGCAGCTAATGCTGAAAAGTTCATTCATCCCTAGGTCAGTCTAAGTTTTTTAATAAATACGAAACAGCAATATACAGAGATAGGACATGATCTAAAAATAAATTCAGAGAAATAGTAAACAGATGTGTGCACGCACATTCAAACTTGTGTAAGAAACACACTCATGCACGAATGCAACAAATGAGAGTAAATTACCAATAATTGAAATAAATAATTCATGCAAAATCTTCTAAGAGAAACATCAAACACAATTATATGATTAAATGGATGGCTAAAAATGGTTCATATCAACAATGCATATGTCTTGCAAAAAACCATTAAGAATGCTCACCAATGTGGAGTTATCACTAACTTATTTGTAATAGAAGAACTTGATACAATTTGAGGTTGAACTCCCCAATGAGCCACCCATGTACTTCCACAAGGTATGATCGCCATCAAATATACGCTATAAAAAAAACATGTAGAATAAGAAATCAAATAATTACAAATTTAGCAATGTGAGTGTGGTAGCTCAAAATGATAGGAAATATATACTTGAAATAAAGCACAATGTCTTGAATTGAACCGTCCAAGAAACACAAGATTTGCAGTATTTGTCTAGATTAATGGTCACACACAAGAACAAAACAACAAAAAACTTTTAAGTATGAACAAAATAAATGCAGCTATATTCCCACCAAGGAAAACTGTCATATCCCAACCAAGATTATCAAAATCTGGATCGTAGGAAGCCACAATTTTACGATCTAGTATAGACAAATGGATCCAAGTGTCTTAAAGAATCCCAAGTTCATAGGATCTTATAGGATCGTATGATCCCGATCTCAAGTGCAATTTTATCGAACTGAATTGTTGCTTCTATTTGGCAGGCCTTTAGTTATTAAGCTGACCTAGTTCATATTTATTGCTTTAGCACTTAAAGACCCAGCCATAAGTGATTAGCTTGTATACTTGTCAACCAATTAGGCAATTTTTGACAAATAAGAAAAGCTATAGAAATATCTTTTCATTAAAGAAAACTCTTTTTATGCGTTGGTCTCTCACTAAAAATTAGACAACAACAATTAAAAAAAGTTTTCTTCTCCAGTCAAGACTGTCTTCCATTTTCATTATGCTCCGCTTTTTTCTTTTCTTTTCTTTTCTTTTTTTTGATATCGAACGGTCCAAATTTATTTCTCAATAATTTCCTCCTTTGTCACCGTCTCTCTCTTAAATTTAAGTTAAAATGGTCTAATTTTTATATTTTTTTCGAAAAGTAAAGAAATTTTATTAATAATAAGAATTAGGTAGTACAAGAAGACAACAAGGGTGGACAAGTATTCCAATCCTTCTGCTAAATAAATATAACAGACCCACATATGCAGCAAGCATAAACATAATATTCATTAGCAGCCACAAACAACAAACCAACTCTACAAAATGATGAAAAGAGTTTTGTTGTCAAACTCCTTAGTAATTGATGCCCAAAAAGAAGCTAGGAAATGAATTCCATAAACCCTCAACCACCTCGCATTTATCCTCAAAGATTCTTGCCTCTCTCTCTCCATCCAAATCACCCACATAGTAACAAAAATTGTACACTCCCAAAGAGTGACTCCTTTGCTTTTCGTTTCAAAACCATAGAAGTCCACATAAAACATTGATGACATGAATCTTGGAGCATCCCAAGAATGTCCAACCACCTCCAAACACTTGTTCCACAAAAACCAAGCAATTGGGCTGTGCAAAAATAAGTGATTCACACTCTCACATTCCTTCCTCCACATGGCACATCATT